AAAGTTTAAAAATATCCCTTTTGTTTGCTGAGAATGGGTCTCAGTGTATGAATTTGCAACATTGCTAACAAACATTAATGGTCCACACTATAAGATCATGTACTTATCTTAAATTGGTTGTTAGTCTTGTGATTAGTGCACTCCAGATTGTTTATTCAGTTGTACACAATAGCAAAGCACAGATCTTACTCAACAAGCCCACACTTGCAAAGCCCAAAATAAAACATATACTATTCAATGTTATTCCATGATAGGGCACCACTTGTTGACAATCCTGATAAACAGTTAATCAATATGACACATTAACATAAAGAACTGTCCACCTTTGAATATGTTGTTATACGTGTGTCTACCGATGAATATTTATCACATGTTTTGCATATTCCTGAATGCATATGTTTTGTTCACAGAAAATTGTCAGCTGTATTTATGGTAAAAACACCTTTAAATCTGATCTTGTTCACTAAATTTATTAGTAATTAGATTTAATTAACATTATACAGTATTAAAGAATTGTTGATAATTATGAATGAAGACATGAATCCTTCAACCTTTTTGACATGGATAACTACTTAACAAACAGTTTGTGTATGTCTTGTTGGACTCTCTCTTGCACATGAAAAACAAGCTCATTATCAATGTTTTTGTTTGGATTTATAGAACTTTAATCTTTCATCAATTGATATTAAAACAGCTTTATTCTGTGAATTAGCTCCTGCTGGAGTTGTCAACAGGTATGAGGAGACAGTCAGAACCGTTTGTGGATGAATGACAATGAGACATGTAATTAGTTCCATATCACAAATTTCACTGGTTTTCAGTGTCTGCTTTATTTTCCAAACTAACTTTACATTTAATAATATAATTATAATCTGAAGACAGTGGCTAAACAAAGTCAGGATTGGGATTCAAGGTATGGATTAATGCCATATCATACAAAAGAACCATCAGTAAAATACAACATTGACCTAGCAATTACATTGCATCACTTAATCATTCAGAGCTAGGTCTAGCTTTTCAATAAATATTTAGGCTATTTAAAAGTAATTTTTCTTTTTTGCTAGAATGGTCAGTTCATTGAATCCCTATAGTGTGGAAACAGGCCATTCAGCCCATCAAGTCCACACCAACCTTCCAAAAAGCATCCCATCCAGACCCACCCTATCCCCGTAACCCTGCATTTTCCATGGATAATCCACCTAACCTGCACATCCCTGGACACCAAGGTTCATCGTGGATCTCCCTAGGGGTCAGTGTTGAGACACTTGCTTTCCCTGATATGTACAGGATGTGCTCAAATGTCCTGTTGTATCCTTGTACTTGGGAAGCCAGCAATCTGTAAATTGTAATATTTAGAGCACACTTAGTCCCAAGAGTTGCTCAATGGCTCCATGCAATAGTGGCCAGCGATAGGAATGGGCCTCATTACGAGGTTTTTAATAGGTCATTCAGACAGTTTAGGGTCACTGAAGAGCAAATCAAAGGTTTCAGGCTGCATTTACATGAGTATAAGAGACAAAGAGATGTAAACCCCATCATGTATACAGTTCTTCTTTTAACAATACCACAACTGAACAAAATGGGTTATGGCTCAATGAGAAGTCAAGAGCAGCCCAATGATTCTGTGTGGTTAGACTGAAAATCTAGCAATTAGAAGGCAGCTAAGTTTAGGAGTGAGAGTTCAGGAAAAGTCCTGGGAGTTGTGTGGATCCAGAAGAAGCAATGTGCCACTAATACTTCAGTGCAGCTGTGAGCAAGGGTGAAAGAAACACACAAGCAATGTCTCATGAAATTCAGCCAAGATGTGTGTGTGTGTGTGTGTGTTGGGGTTGGGGGGCAGTTGATACAAGGCGGACGAGGGAGTGTGGAAAGGTTCTTCACTATGTATGATCCAAACTTACCAATGTTAATTGTGTGTTTTAGAAGTAAGTTCTACATATCAGAGTTCTAACATTGCTTGTTTAAAACCATGGAACTTAGTGGCTTTGTTTACAGATCTCACACTTTTGTCTATTCTAAAGACAAGACTATTAGTCCCTAGCCACATTGCAACATAAATCTGGCAGTCAGATCCAGGATTGCAACGAGGGCATAATTACAAAGCTGGCACATGATATGAAACTTGAAATAATGTAGACAGATTAGTGGAATGGATGGGCAAGTGGCAGAAGAAATTCAATCCACTGAAGTGTTGTGATTATTTTTGCTGAGAAGAACACAGAGAGAAAATATTATTAAAAAAGCAATGCTAAAGCGGGTGCAGGAGCAGAGGGACCTGGGTTTATATGTGCATAAAGCATTGAAGGTAGCATGACAAATTGAGCCTGTGCTTAATAAAAATACAATATCCTAGGTTTTATTAGTAGGGGCATGGAGTACAAGAGCAAGATTATATTAATCTTGTGCCAATCGCGCGACAGAGCCAGCGCGGGCCGACTCCGGCAGCACAGCGAGCATGGGCCAAGTCCCATGGCACAGCAAATGGGGCAAGTGCCGCAGCGGAGCGAACACAGGCCAAATCCCACAGCAGAATGAGCGCGGGCCAAGTTCTGCGGCAGAGCAGAGCAAACAGGCCAATTCCCAGCATGGTAGTGGAACAAGTTCTATATGGAGGCTGGCATATGGAGGCAGCATGGTCTTATGATCTGGGCCTGGTAGGCACGGACTAGAACTTAAGTACATTGTCACTTATGATCATTCTGGACTTTTTCAACTGTTCCCATGTTAATCTACTTTTTTACTCTGTAACTACACTTAAAAGTATCTATACCTCAGTCCCCTGTTCCTAAGATGGCACCAAAAGGCAACATTATAAACTTTACACTGCACTCATTCGTGTGCATGTGACAATAAAGGCTATACTATTCAAACACTGTATCCAGTTCTGGTTGTCACACTTTAGGTCAGATGTCAAGGCCATTAAAGCGAGTACAAAACAAAATTCACGAAAATGGTCCCAGGAATGAGGAACTTCAGGCATCTTTGAGATCACTGTCCAAAGGCAGGTCTGACCCAGGTGTCATGATCTCCACCACAGGGCTGGGCAAGGAGGAAGGTCCGAAATCCATCATAGTCAGAGCAGGGACTGTACCATGCACTATTGGTGCCAAATTAACCCACAACAGAGCTCTAGTCATTGAGCCAATCTATAAAACTCCCACTCCAATGTGTTTGAGCTACTGTGGCAACATGCACATTTACGCACATGTTGCAATTCAGAGCTATAGATAGAAATGGCTGATTTGGAATATCTCTCACTCGTTCCATCCACCATTAGTTTTGTAGAGATCTACAGCACAAAAAAAGGCCCTTCGGCCCATCATGTCCTCGTCAGTCAAAAATAACCACCTAATCCCATTTTCCAGCACTTGGCCCCATCGCCTTATATACCTTGACATTGCAAATGCACATTTAAATACTTCTTAAATGTTATGAAGTTTTCTGCCACTTCCACACTTACAGGCAGTGGATTCTAGATTCACAACCACCCTCTGGGTGAAAATGTTTCTCCTTACATCTCCTCTAAACCTCCTGCCCCTTACTTTAAATAGGCCATTGGCGTATGTTGGAATGTTGGAAGGAATTCCAAGTTGACACTCAACATGTTTGGCCATATTACAAAAGCATGTTCCTTAACAATCAAGTTGTGGAATAGGATGGAAACTCTGAGCTTCTGACTCAGAGAAAGGGACACTACACAACTAAGCACTAGCCCTCCTGAATTCCAGTTAGTTAGATAGATTGGAGAAGCTGGGACTGATTTCCTGGGAGAAGAAATGTTTGAGAGGAGATGTGATTGAGAAGTTCAAAATTGTGAGGGGTGGACAGGGTAGGTAGGAAGGAACTTTTTCCTTGGTGAAAGGATTCAAATAGATTTGAGGTAACAGGCCAAAGAAGCCATGTCAATAAGAGAAGAAACATTTTCACAAGGGAGTAGTTAGGATATGGAACGCTTTGCGTGAGAGAGTAGTAGAGACAAATTCAGTTGAGGCATTCAAGAAGGAATTGGATTTCTCTATGAAAAGGAAGAATGTGCAGGGTTACACGAACTGAGCAAATGTAACTCGGTCCTTCAGAGAGCCAGCATAGATACATTAGGCTGAATAACTTTCTTTTGTCCCGCACCTACTCTAAGATGCTGTGACTTTTTGACGGTGCAGGGTTTTACTTTTGTATTAGTCACAGAAACTGGCTTGATGAAAGTTGCTAACCAACATACTGCTGCAGTTTGTGCCTTTTTGATTAAAACTATACATTCCTCTTATCGGTACATCCTGTAGTATTCTGTGACTTGACTGTCAGCGCGAGAATGTTTGTAATATTGTTTTAAACTCAACATGAATATGATGAGGTTCTCTCCAATAAAAAAAATCTGAAAAAGTATTTCACAGCACAGGAACAAGGCTAATATGAAGCTGTTTACCAATTTAAAAAAAAACTACCAGTAGATCAACCAAGCAATGAATCCTATAGAAACATCTCTGGCCAGGTTAATCATCACAGTAGAAAAAGAGAAATGTAATTTCACCTTGGTGTACTATTTATTAGCTAAGTTGCACATTTGGGATTCACTTAATCTGCAGATACTTGACATAGTATAAAAAAGAATTTATAAAAGTTAATCTTGTGATGCAATGAGAGAGATTTCTTACCACAAGGTAACATATTTTAGCTGTAAAACAATTAGGAGGCACAATAAAATGCAGTACAATACAAGAGGCCATTCAATCTATTATACAGATAATAAGGTCCAAAGAACCCAATGGAAGGGCTGAAACTTTAATGAGTATGATGTAAGAATGAAGGCCAAGATTTGTTTTTATTTTTAGTGTTTTGTTTTCAAATTTAATAATTCCTTAAAGTGGAACGGACTGTGTTAACCAGTTCTTGTCTTATCCAGGTCTCTGGCACTGGGACACCAGTATTCGTCTCTTGGCTCGCAGCCCATCCTGTGTGGTAGTATCCCTGGCCTCGTTCCAAAGCAACTTCGCTTCTGCAGGAACTACATTGAGATCATGCCCAGCGTAGCCGAGGGGGTCAAGATCGGAATCCAGGAGTGTCAGCATCAGTTCAGGGGTAGGAGATGGAACTGCACCACGGTCAATGACAATCTGGCTATCTTTGGACCAGTACTAGATAAAGGTAATTCAGGGGTGACATGCTGCTGGGCAAGGTCGAGGACAGGGATGTAGAAGTACCCTGAGGGGTTCTGAAGAAGACAGGAAGGAAATTGAAATAAAGAAGTGAATTAAAACAGTTGACAAAATGCATTTTCTGAGCAGATCATGAATGAGCATAACTTTGTTCTCCAAAAAATAAACAATCAATCTATTTAGTTAATTCTTTGTTAACAAGCATAATAGGTTATTGACTGCAATCTTAACTCTTGAGGGATAGTTGATGTTGGGATAAATAAGATATATTTTAATACAAAGCTATGAGAAGTATTTGATATCTCTGCCAGAGTACTGTATCACAGACTTATAGATGTATACAGCACAGCAAGAGGCCACTTGGTCCTTCACGTCTGTGCCAGTCAACAAAGATCTGACTACACTAACTTCATTTCTCAGCTTTTGGTATATAGCACTGAAGGCTATGGCTGCTTAAATGTGACAAGAATTTCTGACTCTTTAAGGCAATGAGTTCCAGACTCCTAATACTTGATTGAAAACATTTCTCCTTAAATATCCTCTTAGCCTTCTCCCTGTTATCTTAAATCTATGTCCCCTAGTTATTGACCCCTCTGCTTTTGGAAAAAGTGTCTTCCTATCTGCCCTATCCATGCACCTCATAATTTTATAGATCTCTATCAGGTCCCCTCTCAACTTTCTTTGCTCCAAGAGAAATAACCCTAGCCAATCTGACCTCATATCTCAAACTCTTCAGCCCAGGCAGCATCCTGGTCAATCTCCTCTGCACCCTCTCTAGTGGAATAACATCTTTCCTTTAATGTGATGACCAACACTGTGCAACATACTCAAGTTGAGGCCTAACCAGTGTTTTACACAGTTGCAGTGTAATCTCTTGCTTTTGTATCCTTTGCCCGAGCTAATAAAAGCAAGTATGCCATATGCCTTCTTAACCTCATCTATCTTCCCATCTACCTTGAGCAATCTCACCATATGTACACCAAGGTCCTACCATTCATTGTTTAAACTCATGGCTTGTTACCCCATCCCAAGAGCATTTCCTCAGTCTTCTCAGAGTAGAAATACATTTGCCATTGCTCTGCCCAGCAGACAAGTGCACTGATATCCTTTTGATATGTTCCTGTAGCTTACGGCTATTTTCCTCATTATTTACCACCTCACTAATTTTCATCTCATCCATGAGCTTGTTAATCATATCCCCTAGATTTGAATCCAAATCATTAATGTATACTACAAGTAGCAAGGGCCCTGCATCAAACCCTGCTGAAGCCCACTGGAAACAGCCCGCCAGTCACAGAAACATCACTCTAATATCACCCTCTGCTCCCAACATCTCAGCCAATTTTGGATCCAACATGCCACTTTGTATTGAATCCCAAGGGTTATTACTTGACCAGTCTGCCATGAGGCATCTTATCATAAGCCTTTCTAAAGTCCATGTAGACCATATCAAATGTATCACCCTCATCAATACTTTTGGCTACCTCCTCAAACATGACCTCCCTTTTACCAATCCATGCTGACAATCCCTGATTATCCCTGATCCCTGATTATTCCATGTCTGTCCAAGCTCAGATACATTCTTTCCCTCAGAATTCTTTTTCTATTAACTTCCTCGCCACTGAGATTAGACTGACAGGCCTCTTTATTCCTGATCCACAGCTTCCTCTTATTTTTAATATTAGGGACAATGGTAAAAATCCTCCAATCCTTTGGCACCTCACCTGTGGCCAGAAGAGATTTGAAAATTACTGCCAGGACCTCTGATATTTCCTCCCTGGCTTCACTCAACAGCCTGCATCTTATCCAGGCCTGCAGATTAATCCAATTTTATGGCTGCTAAGTCATCTGCTATTTCCTTTTCCTTTCTCTCTTTGTCAACTTATTATTGTATTTGAAAGTCCTCCACTCTGATGTTCACATGTGCTTTGTCCTTTTCCATTGTCAAGACCAATGCAAAGTATTCATTGAGGATTGTACCCATATCTTCCAGGTCCACTAACTATGGTCTTACTTTTTTGGTACTTATTCTCTTCATCTTTATGTAAATAAAAACAAGACACTTTGGATTTTCCTTTATTGTAACTGCCGATTTCTCAAGCACTCTTTTTGCTTTCTAATTTCCTTTTTTAGTAACACCCCACACTTTTAATATTCCTTTAGGGATTCTGACATATTGATCCCTCAGTATCTGCCATAAACTTCTCTTTTCTTTCTTAATCCTGACCTTTATGTCCCTTGGCATTTAGGGTTCTCCAGTCTTGGTCTCACCCTTTGGCATTATGGGAACCTGCTCTTGCTATTTCTCCTTGAGTGCCTCCCACTGCTCTGACACAGTTTTATCTGCTTTTGGTCAAATCATATCTTATCTTAGCAAAATGAGCCTTTTCCCAGTTTAGAACATTTATTCTATTCTCAATCTGAGCTTTGGTCACTATTTCCAAAATGCTTGCCTACTGATATGTCTTTCACCTTCCTGGGCCCATTTCCCAATATTAAGTCCAGAATTGCTGCTTTCCTTGTTGGTCCTTATTCATATTCGCTAAAAATGTTCTCCTGGACGCAATTTAATAATTTGATTCCCTCTCTGCCTTGCCCACTAAAACTATCCCAGTTAATATTGGGCACTTAAAATCCCTATTATTGCCTTATTATTTCTATACTTCTCAATTTTGTTTACATATTTGATCCTCTATTTCTTCCTGACTGTTTGGATGCCAATAATACATACCCAATGGTGTGCTTGTCCTTTTTATATTTTTATTTTTACCCATATGGCCTCAAATGGTGATCTTTTCAAGGTGTCATCCTGCCTCACTGCTATTCTTGATTCTTTGATCAATACTGTAATGTACAACAACCTCCACCCCTCAACCGCTCCCCTTCTGCCCTGCTCTCTATCTCGCCTGAATGCCCTATAACCAGGAAAGTTGAGCTGTCAATCCTGCCCGTCTTTCCACCAGGTCTTGGTTATGGTTACGATTTCATATTCCCACGAGACTACACGTAGTGTTCTTCAGATGCCTTGCATTAAATATATATTCCGTTTGACCTGCGACACTTACTTCTTTCTGAGCCAGACAATGTTACTTCCACCTTCTGGACTCACTTCCTCACATTTTAACCTCTAATTCTGTATCAGCTTCTCTTCCATCTGAACTACTTGTCAGCATCCCAACTCCCTTGCCAACCCGGTTTAAGTCCACCCCAAGAGCATTAGCAAACCTCCCCACAAGGATATTGATTGTGTTTCAGTTCAGATATAACTTGCCCAACTTGTACTGTTCTCATCCCCAAAGAAACCATTCCGATGCCTCAAGGTCCTGTACCATTTGTCTAGCTACACAACCATCTGCTCTATCCTTCTAGTCCTATGCTCACGGCTGCATGGCACTGGGAGTAATCTGGTGATTGCCATCTTTGAAGTCCTACCTAAGTCCCTAAAGTCTGCTTGCAGCATCTCATTTCTGTTTCTTTCTATGTCAATGGTGCCAACATAGACCACAACCTCCATCTATTCACCCTCCCACTTCTGAAAGCCATGCAGCTATTCTGTGACATCCTTGACTCTAGCACATGGGAGTCAACTTGACATCCTGGAGTCACGTTGACAGCTGCAGAAGTGTCTATCTACTCCCGTCAGAAATGAATACTCTTCCACACTTCTCCGCCTCCTCTGAGCAGCTGGACTACACACAGTGCCATGGCTTTGTCCACGGCTGGCCTCATTCTTATCATTTCCCAAGGTTAAAAATCACTTTGCATGTGAGATGTACTCTGCGGATTCCATCTCTATCTATCTGGTTCCCTTCTTCTGACTGGTGGCCACACATTCCCTCTCTGTGTGCACCTCCATAAGCTGCGGATCCTGAGATATGCTACATTGTACCTCTCAGCCTTCTGAATGCACTGTCATAGCCCCAACTACTGCTCAAGCTCCAAAATAGGCATCTCCTGCACACATGGTTGTCCAGACTGCCAGGAGTGTCAAGGATTTCCTAGATTGTGCAATATCAAGGGCTACAGCTCCCCAAGTATACTTTAACGCAAGAGAATATGGAGTGCTGTTTTTTTTTTAAATTTCAAAAATATACTTTATTCATAAAAAGTATCTTTGTATATATGCATGGTCACAAATGCAGTTTGGTTCTATATTGTAGCATATCAAGTAAACACACGTTGGAGTTTGACTGTATCCAAACAAACCAAGGACACCTCTTACACATACAACACTGTATTTACATGCATTTGAGGCACTAGGAGCGTCTGTTAACTGAATGGACCCCCATTTACCTTCAGCAGGAAATCCCCAGACAGTGGTCTTTCTCCACTGTGCCTCGGCAGCAGCTGCCCCAAGCTTTATTGTAGCACATAGTCCTGGACATTGGAATGTGCCAGCCTGCAACACTTGGTCAAGGTCAACTTCTTTCTTGTTCTGTAAGACCAACAAGTTTCAGGCAGACTGTTCATGTCCTGAGTATTAGGTCTGCTGCCAATCTATCTGCTTCTCTACGAAGATTCTCACCGTGCCTGCTTCACTCAATCATGCTGGCTGCCTTTCACAGGGTCTTTGCCTCACCCTCTCCTCTTTCATTGTATTAATCTATCACTATACATTCATTCATTCAATCCAAAGTTAGTTCGTTGCTGAACTGAGGAAGGCAGGTGAATGAATCCTGTTCATTGGATCCATCTGTGACCAGCGTAAATTTGTAACCACTTAACAGCTGTCCCTCACTGCCACTTTCTTAACAGGATTCATCCAATGGTCCCTGTGTTTAAAATATTGTTTGGTAAAGTCACCATAGTGTCAGTCTCTCATTAGAGAGAGATGATTAGTGGTGGTTTAATCTGAGGGCTAACTTGCCTCACGTGAGGGGCAAGGTTGAGAAGTTGGGACCTTCACAGTTACATTAGTGGAAACTGAACCCATGTTGTTGGCATCATCCTGCATTGTAAACGAGCAAGCAGATCATTGAGCTAAGCCAA